AAGCCATTTTAAATCAGAATAGTTACATGCAGTTGAACGCATCCTTAGTGATAGACCACTTTACATCAACTCCTTGTTATCCCTCAGGTGGGTTTTTGCAGTGCTATGGGGTCTTAATGCCTTCAAACCCAATCCATGTCATACATATGCTGCTAGATCATCCTTCTTAAAGAAATATTTTATCATGTGTCTTATCTTGTTCAAAGACCATCAGTCACTTCCTATTGCCTAGAGAGTAGCCCAGGCTCAGCAGCTTAGCATTTGTGGTTTTATACAGACCTACCCTCCTTTATATACCTTGTGTTATAGAGACGCAGAATTAAGTTCTATCTCTTGAACATGCCTCTCCTTTTTTCTGCCTAGTTCATGTTTTCTTTACCTGGAATATTCTTGCTCCACTTCCTCCTGTCCATATGCAATCTTATTCTCAGAAGTGTTCCTAATGTTTCCCTACTTCCACATCCTACAAAGAAATGGCTTCTTCTTTTAAGCTTCTGTAGTATTTATTAGTCTACTTTATAGTGCGGTTAATTGTATAGTGTAATCTCTTCTACTACCTATGATGTTCGATAGAACTTTCTGTGAAGATGGTTAATGAGCACTTGAAATATGGCTGGTGCAACGGAGGGCCTGAATGTTTAATTCTGTTTAGCTAATTTAAATGTAAATATTGGGTTGGCCAAAAAGTCTGTATGGTTTTTTTACAGTACAAAAAGACACATTTAAAATTTTCACCAATAACTTTATTGATTTGGATATTTTGAGTATGTCTGCCATCTCCCACATGGTATAATGTTGATTGTTCTCAGTTAATGTCTTGATTTGATCACTATCAACTTCAACTGGTCTACCCAACCGTGGAGCATCGTCCAGCGAGAAATCTCCAGCACAAATCTTCATGAACCACTTTTGACACATTCGATCAGTCACTGCACCTTTTCCATACACTGCACAAATCTTGGGGGTTTTTTTTTGCATTTCACTTGCATTTTTACCTTTCTTGAAATAATAAAACATAATATGCCAAAAATGTGGCCTATTTTCTTCCATCTTAAATATTAAAATGGCTACAGAAAAATCACCAATTTTGATTTTTTTGATGTACACTCACATGACAGCTGTCACAATACCATCTAACAAAATTGTTGTGAGTGAGGTTAAAGACTAAGCACTTCTAGAGCCATCTTATAGAAAAAAGCAAATGAACTTTTGGTCAATCCAATAGCTACTGTCTAGCACAGTAACAGACTAAAAGGCTCCTGAACATAGTACAGAGATTATATCTTACTTCTGTAATCACCAAAGAGTACCTGAAAGGCACAGACTGCTTTTATTCCCTATTATCTTCTCCACATAGCCTTGTTGATAATAAACACTGAATAGTTATTGAATCATTGAATATGGAAGTCACATTTACCAAATATAGAAGGGTTCCAATTTTTGTTCCAAATTCAAGCAAATAGGGAAGAATGATCAAAACTTGAACTTGTTACTGAGAAACAGATGGCCGGTTCCATTGTAAAAGGATCTCTCCCTCTCTACCTATCACGACATTCTTCCTTAGTCACATAGAGAAACTTCTTCACAGTTCAAACCTCTTTGTTTTTAAAACTTTCAATTGTGCAACAATTTCAAACTTAGTGAAAAATTGGAAGAATAGTACAGAAATTTCCATATTCACCCATTTTTTTAATACTGAAACATTTCTTAGAATTTAAACATACCGCGTGGTTGTCATGAACTGGGAGGAGGGGATTAGTGTGTAGTGGGTATAAGAGTTTCTGTGTCACAGGCTGAAAAAGTTCTAGAAATCTCTTGAACAATAATTTAAATATACTTAACACTACTGAATTCTACATTTAAAATGGTTAACATGGTAAATTTAATGTTATGTTTTTTCACCACAATAATAAAAAAAACACATACCATCATCTTCAAGCACAGTTAATCCATCTTTTAAAAGCAAGCTATAATTTTATTACAGATTCCAAAAGAAGCAAGTATCTTCTCTTTTGTCCTGCAAATTATTTTCCTAGGAGTCAATCTGCTTTTGTTTTTTGGAAGTTCTTCCTTATGGCTGATTTTTAATTCCTTGTTTTATAAGATAACCCTTTTTCATCATATTCCAACCTCAACAAAATTAATTCTTCAATATAAACAATAATAACAGATTCACCAACTTTTAGATTTTTTAAATAATTTCTGTATATGTGTATGTGCTATGTAAGAGGGTTTGTTTTTTAGATTTTATTTATTTTTAGAGAAAAGGTAAGGGGCAGAGAGAGGGATAGAAACATCAATGTGAGAAAAAACACATCAGTCTGTTGCCTCTCATACATGCCCTGACTCACTGAATCAGCAACCCAAGAAAGTGCCCTGATGGGAAATCCAACTGGCAACCTTTTGTTTCACACAGTCTGATACCCAACCGACTGAGGCACCACAGTTCAGGGTGAGGGATTTTTTGTGTGTGTGTAATTTTTCTGAACTACTTGTGAGAAAACTGCATGCCTTTTTTATGACTAAGATATTCTCATACAAAACATATTCTGGAAATTTAACACTGATATAGTACTTTTTATCTATAGTCCATATCCCAACTGCATCAATTATCCCAATAATGTCCTTTACAGCTTTTTTCTCCTCCAGTAAAGGATCCAGTTCAGGGTCACATATTGCATTTAGTTTCCTTTAATCTACAGCTTTGTTTTGTCTTTTTTTTGTGTGACATTCATGGTGTTTTAAGGGCACAGGCCTATTATTTTATAGTTTTCCTATATTTGGGTTTGTCTGATGCTTCCTCATCATGTGATCCAGGATGTATTGTTACACATACTTTCTCTGCCACCCACTGGCCTTGACCTATTCACACCTATCATATTCCTAAGTTTTTAAAGCATTGCATCTCTGTGAAAATATATACCCATACATTTCATTTAATACATTTAAACTTTTGTATAAAATACAAAATTCTACCATTTCAAAAGCAGTTGTTGGCTCTGTGCTTATAATGGTTTCAAAGGCAAGTGAAATTTACTTAAAGGATTCAGTTTCTTTCTTTCCATCAATTATTTTAATATTGAGTGTGGAAATAATTCCTCAAAGAGGACTACTACTGTAAACTATTAAAGTTTAGTGATCTTACTACTGCCAGTGAATAAATCAGAACCATAGTCTTTCCATTTCTTAAATCATAATTTACTTTTATACCTCTTAATGAAATTGACAATGTAGAAAAAAGACAAATTCTGATTTATAATAAATACTTTTTACTTTCGAAGTGGTAAAAGTTATGTATGAATCGGTACTACATCCCAAGATTTCAGGTATTTTTAAATGAGGGGGAAATAACTGGCAAGACCCTTTAGAGAAGCTTGTATTTAAAACGTGTTTAGAGGGGGGGAAAAGGCTCTCAACTGTAGCTATAGCGCTCATACTGGAAACAGAAGAATAAAAATGGTCCTTGAGGATTTTTCTGGGGAGTAAGAAAATTGTTTCAAGGAAGAAACTGGCAGAGACATGGAAATTTTGGACAGGGGAAGAAAAAATGCCGTAGCGTTTTGGACACCATGAAAGCGCTAGAATGTTTAAATAAACATTTTACATTGTGAGAAATGTCTGAGTGGTTTTTTTTTTCTAGAGGAAATTAATTATTTCTTTAGAGGATAGAAAGAAGTCTCCCTTTCTCCCCCCAAGTTAAAGTGTCTTTGGCTCTGTTTCTAGGACTTCTAGGAACGTGCAATTAAAATAAAATCGACACGACAAAACGCTTGCAGCATTTAAAGTTGTTTTCTTTCCCAAGCGCTCAAGAAAACTCAAACACTGGGACCCTTTTTTGAAGTCTAGAAGACGTTTAGAACGTCTCCTGCACACTCCCGGACGACTCCGGTCTCCTGCAGCAGTCATTTCCCCTAACCCGGGGCTTCCGAGCCGCGGGGCTCCAAGGGGGTGTGTCCCGCCCCGCAGCGGCCGGACACCAGCTTCGCCGTGGGCCCACCTGCCGCGGTCCGCGGCCGGGGCCCGGAGGAGGCGCCGGGCGGCTGCAGAGCTGCGGTGTGGGTCCGCCTCCCCACCCCACGAGCCCGGAGTGGGAGACCCCAACCCCGCACCGTGAGGCTGAGCGCTCCCCGGGCCCCAGCAGGCGTGAGCTGGAGGTCCTCGCTCCTTTCGGTCCCAGCTGCTATGGGCCTCGGCGAGGGGAAAGCCTTGCATTTTCTCCCCACACTTATACCCCACTCCAAAGTCTGCGCGGCAGGAACAAAAAAAAAAAAAAAAAGAGAGAGAGAAAAACAAACAAAAAGACCCAAAAGATCGAGAGAGGGTGCCGGCCCTTCCCGGGCCGTGAGCGGCAGCGCCGTCCCACGCACGGCCGCGGCGGCAGCTAGGTCCAGTCCGCGCGGGGCAGCGACCTCCCTCCAGCCGCCGCAGGACGGGCGTGGAGTCTGCGAGCGTCGGGGGAGGGGTGCAGGGCGGGGAAAGAGCATCCCCACGCCGCGGCAGCCCGCAGCTCCCCCGCCGCCCGGCGGGGGGAGGCCTCGTCACAACCGCCGCCTCAGCAGTGGCCGCAGATCTCGCGGTGTTTGCCGGCGGCCGCGCCGCCATATTGTGTGACAGTATTTTGATTTGCACTGGGCTGGCACAGCCGCGGCGAGAGCGAGCGAGAGCTGGGGGGGGTGGGGGGAGGGCAGCGAGCGTGAGGGGGGTGGGGGCAGCGGGAGGTAGGGAGGCCGAACGAGCCCGAGCGGAGGAGCGGGGAGCGGCGACGCCACCCAGCCACCGTTTTTGATCGGCAGCAGCCGCCGGCGGGGCGACCCAGCCCGACCCCCTCCCCTCCCCCTCAGCCACGAGCGGCGGCGGCGGCGGCCGGAGGGAGTTGGCGGCGGCGGCCGATCGGAGGGGCTGAGCGGGGAGGGAGGGAGGGCTGAGGTGTCCCCCCTGCCGGGAGGAATCGGAGGCGGCGGCGGCGCTGGCGGCGGCCGTGGTGGTGGAGGCGGCAGCGGCGACGGTGGAGACGGCTGCCCTAGTGGGAGAGGCGGCGGCGGCGGCCGAGGAGGAGGAGGGGGAAGCGGCGGCGAAGGGTAAGCGGACAGCGCTGCCGGGCCTCGGCGGGCTCCCCAGTCTCGGCTCTCCCCTCGGCTCCCCGCACCCCCCTCCGTCTGCGAGGCGCTCCGGCGATTCGCAAGGCCCCCTCGGGGCGTCCGCGCCTTCCTCTCACTCTTCCTCCCTCCGCCTCCTTCCTTCCCCGGGCGGTGAGGCAGAGAGGGAGCCCCCCCCCCCCAAGTCTCCAGCCCGGGTGGGGGTGGGGAGCATCGGGCCGGGCCTGAGCTCCGGGGAGTCTGGGTGGAGGGGGAGGGGGAGGCCCATCGGAGTCGGTCGCCGGGGAGAGCCCCGGGTGGGGGAGGGCGCCCGGGGTGGGGGGCCCTGCGGGCGCCGGCGTCCCGGCCCGCCCCTCGGGCAAGTGCGGGATGCGAGCGGGGGACGGGAAACTCCTTTGGGGAACCGGGGTCGGCATAAAGACGCCCTGCAGGCCAGGTGCTGGGGGAAGAGGCTGAGGGGGTTCAGGGGGGTCTGCAGGGGAGCGTCATGCCCCTTCCAGGGCTGGTTTCGTGCAGCCTCGCGGGAGCGGGGAGCCCGCCCCGCTGTGATGGTGCGGCCCCCTGGGGTTCCCAGGACGGCGGTCGTTTTCTGTCCGCTGAGCCCCGGACCCCGGAGGTCGCGGTTGTGGCCGGGAGGCTGAACGGGCCCGGGTGCTGCTCCGCAGGTGACAGGTGTACCTTTCGGTTGCTGATGCTGCGGCGTCGCTCGGGCAGAGTGGTGCACCCGAGTGTCAGAGGCCGTGGGAGTTGGTGTTTGTGTGTTTGGCCCTGTCTCATTCCATATATAGTATATTTGAGATGTTAGGTTCCCATTCTTCAAGTCAGCTTCGTTGTTGGGGAGGAATTCTTCAAATGTTTCTGATAAGAGGGGTTTCCAGGAGCGCGGAGGCCGGCAGCGTGCAGCGTCTCGCGGGTGCGCGGGTCCGTGGAAGACCGGTGCCCGGGCTCGGCTGTCCGCGGCGCCTCGATTCATTGGGAGGTTCCTGAACGCTAATGTGGTGCTCGAGGCAACAGCGAGGCAGTGTAATTTTGCATCCATTTTGTCTGTTTTAGGTAAGTCTGGGAAGGGTCGCGGTGTAGGGTCAGGTTGATTCACATTTCATAAAAGGAATTAGTTTGTGCTTTAGCTTACTCAGGAGAGTACGATGCTCATTATGCAGTTTCAGATTTGGCCCGGAATTTTGGTGGGCATGGAATGGGATTTTGCTTTCAGTTTTTACGCAACTGCTGCTTACCACATCTTCATACAGTAGCATAGTATTGATACTTTTAAAAAACCACCTTTAAACTTTTTGTAACAGTGAAGTCGTGACTGGTTTTTAACGCTGACAGGTTGGGATTTTAGATTTTGAAACCAGTTGCATTCTCTTACAAAGATACACTTCTCATCTTATTGTATGCCCTGGCTGAGCACCTAAATTAGACACAATGGGAGAAATTGTCAGATAAATGAGCTACAAATTAAGTTACGGCCAAGCTAGTTTTTAAAGAATCCTATAGCTTTTAAAAAGTGTGTATGAGACTAATATTGAATGATGGTCTATCAGTATGTTAACAGGAAATAGAACAAAAATTCCAGTGATTCAGAACTTCTGTTGGGGTTTTTCCCCCCTTCAAATCTACTCAGTTTTTAATAGAGGTGCTTAAGATTTAAATCTTTAAAGGATCAACTGAAAGTTGATGTGTTAATTAGATGAGTCAGTCATCCACTGAATATACTCCATTATTTCATTTTTCTCTTGGGTGCATGGAATAACTTTTCCTGAGTTTGAAAGTATTCTCCAAGGACAATAATGAAATGTAGCCTTTCAGCCCTCTTTAGTGAACTGTCACGTTGTAGAAGCTGTGCTTTTGTAACTCATTAAGAAGTGGGAAATGATCAGAATCTCATATATTACAGATTCTCAGAAAAATAAATTTTACCTTGGATCAATCCCATTTGATTGAAGTAGTTACCTACATTAGGTCCTCTCTTCAGTGGAAGGAAGTACCTGCCTTCAGCTAAGGATATTGTTTAAAACTTGCATACCAATTATTAAACTTCATAAAATGAGGTCTTAAACTCCCAGAGTTAGGTAGGTACTATCCAGAACCCCAATTATGTCATTATTAAATATTGCTTCTTTAGTATTAGTAACACATTACACTTGTGAAATGTCTTAATATGATTGGTCTTGTGTGTCTTGATAGAAATAAAAGTTTGTTCTACTTCTCTAGTTTTCCCTGTAATGAAAATCTTTAAAATACTGTTTAGGATTAAATGTATGTACCCATCTCTGAATATACTGCATTTTGAAAGATAGGTATAATGTAGATTATTTACATGAAACTCACATGAATTTCATGTCCCCCAAAACCAGTGAGAAATGTCTGCATTTTTTAAAACAGCATTTTTTAAATTATATAACCTGATCAATACTAAGTTTATTTTTTAAAGATCATCAACGTTCTTTAAAGGGGAATAATTGCCTTGTTATAGATGTTTTGGAAAGAAGCCCTTGATAATCTGTATAATATGTACAGTTCATTAATAAAACTAATTCAGAAAGGCTTCTATTCCATTATATCTGAACTAAGCTCCCATGACCCAGAAGAGAACAGTAGTAGCACTTTTCCCTTGTTTCACTTACCTCATCTTCATTTGATCCATCAAAAACAGCAATGCTCTAAAATAGAAGGATAATGAGGTAATAACAGAGGCAAATGTGCAAATTGGGGCAAAACAGTAATGAGAAGTCGGGGCATAGATACTAGTAGAGCATTAGAGGAACAGTTTCAGGCAGCTAGGAATTTGGAGATGCAGGTTGTAGTGGCTGCCAAGCATAGGAAAGTGATCGTGCTGAATCCGAGGAGGTTTCCTCTGAATCTTTTGATAGACTCTGACAATCTGTGTGTCATCTTATTTTAAACTCCCTGCATTAGGATGGTAAGGATTTGTAGACGGTAAAATTGTGTGAAATTTGAATATATGTATGTTCATATTTATTTACCACTGGCTCATATTTTCAGAATACTTACTGTATTTGAACATTTTATCCTATGATTCTGAGCCTTAAAAAGTCAGGAACACTTGCTTAAGCATCTTTGTTGGTTTTTTGTTTTTTTTTAGCAAGAACACTTGCTAAAGAAAAAACAAAACCATGAGTTAAATACTCTTAGGGGTGGCTAATACTGTATTTTTTTACATTTTCTTTAGTTAACCACCAAGCTTGACTGCCTTGATAGAGTCAGACTAAGAATGGCTGTCTTTTTCTTTGTTTTCTAAGGATTCCAGCCCTCAAAATATCATGTTTAGTTCTAAGTAGTACTGGTTCTAGCCAGCTATATGGAAGTTAATCATTTCACTTACACTTTTCATTTTGATTTTTTTTAGACTCATTTCAACTAATATACTTAGTTTCTTACTCCTCAGAAAAAGACTGCTAACAAGTTGCTATTTCAGAAGGAGATCCCAGTAAGAATTGCCACAAAGTAAAAATCGTGGGAATATATATCAACAAAAGATCTCTATGAAAATTGATCAAAGTTTTGGTACCTAAAAGTGCATTTGTTTGAAATTTATTTGTGTAGATACCTTTATCTCCTGACGATGCTTGATAAATGAGGCTTTGCTGAATGTGTCTTTCTGATTTGCCTATCATTCTTAATGTAAAGCTTTAATAAGAAATTCTATTGTATTTCTAAATATTTCAGTAAAACATTTGGTATTGAGTTGTAAATTTCTTTTGATCTTTAATATCTTAATGTCAGCCTTTTTAGTGTTTCCTGCATAGTAAAGGAAAGAGAAAGAAACTATTTACCAACTGCCTTTTGGGTACCCAACTTTCATTTATTTCACAAATATTTATTGAGCACTTACTATGTATGGGCCAGGGACCTTTGAGATGCTGCAGATGCAGCAGTGAATAACATAAACAAAATTTCTGTCCACATTATAGTTTACATTTTAGTAGTGGAAGACATAATTAAGTAAAATATAGTGTGCCTTAGAGAAAAAAGTGCTGTGGAGAAAAAACAGAAAAGGTGTTTTGAGAATGAACATAGCCTATTTGTTCCTTTTATAACTAGAATAGATATCCTTGCTTTCAGAAACAAAAATATTCTATACATAAATTTTTTTCTTCTATTAAGAATATACTTTGTAGCTTGGGAACACCATTATGTTTGTACTTAAGAGTTACAGAGTTTCAGTTAATAGCAATTTTTGTGTTTAGTACTTCAGAAAGCTGCTTTGTGGCTCAGTAGAAAATTTGGAGTTTACTGTCCTGGTGGCCATTTACTAGTTTTGTGATTTGGGGCCAGTTACAATGTCTTAGCTTCCCTGTGCTTGTTTTCTGTTCTGTAAGATGAGTTATAATATCTGTAAGGTTATTGTGATAAATTACACATTTTGTGTATCTGATATGGAAGGGGCTTAGTAAGTTGCAACTTTTTCATTTACTGCCTATCTGGAGTTCTGTTAAACATAGTAGAAGTTGGTGATCCTTCCAAGAAGTTTAGCACTGTATGGGACATAGTTTCATGCACATGAAACAGTTATTTGAACAACTAATGCAGTCTTGTCCAATAGCATAAGGTTAATTAAAATGCAGCTGCAACTTAACAGTCACTGGTGCTTTCTGGGGAGTTTGTACATGTTATCTAGTCAGTGTGGTATCAGTAAACCTGATAGTATTTAATCAGGAACATTGTGATACATTTTGTCTTATAGGTTGATGAGTGGGGTCTCAGCATTTTAACAAGTAGACACAAATACTGTGTAAGATTCCAATTCATGAAAATACTTGTAAAATGTTTAGTATAGTGCCTGGCATACTGTAAATGCTCAATAAATGTTTGTTATTGTCATTATTTATTATTTCTTTATTGTGCAAAAAGAGGTTAATTCAGAGAATTTACAATTAAGGAAAAACATTTACAAAGATAAAATAATGCACATGTGAATAAGTTTTTTGAGGAGAAAGTAGAATAGCTAATTTAATTGCAATTGGTTTCCATTTTTTGATTAGGGATCACTAAATTGAGTTTCTCAAGGACAGATTATGTCTTATTTTGCCTTCGGTCTTGACTTCACCATACCTTCAGTGCCTGGCCTGTAGTTACAAGCTGCAGAAATACTGTGTGGTAAATGTTAAATGGTTCCTGTTGATAGTTCTGCTGTGTGTCATAGCTCTTTGGTAGTAAGCATCTTCTGAGTCAGAAGTGGCTACGCTACATGTCTTTGAAACTTTAATTTTAAGCATAGACTAAGGTGTCATGCAAAGCCTTCTGAATGCCATTCTTTTAATCTAGCCAAAAATTTGAAAAATATCCCAGAAATTGAAAGAAGAGAAACCAGTTATTTGCAGCTAGATTAGTATTTGTTAACCCATTCCCTGTGAGTTGCTGAAATTAAAGTGAATAGCAGTTTTAGAAAACAGAGTAGAAAAAATAGTTCATGCATAATTATAGGCTCTTAGTTGCTAAAGACAACTTAAATCTTATCTCTTCAAGGCAGTTTCAGTGAAACTGTAGGTTTATACTGGCTTTGTGAATTTAGTGTCTCAGTCACTTTCTTAAATTCCTATGTTGTAAGGGATATTGGTGTTTTCACAGAAAAGGGAAAACATCCCAACCCACCCAACTTTAACCATTTTTAGATGTTTAAATCTTAGCACCAGTTAGCTTTTTCCAGTTCTGTGGCAAGTTATCCTCTACCTAATAATAATAATTTTAGCTTTTGTAAAATGTAATGCTTCTCTTAAGTTCTAAGATCTTTAGTCATTTACACAAAATATTTCTTGGCTTTAAAAAAATCCCCACAAACATGTATAGGACAAATTGTTTTATATTCAAATCAGATATGACACAATACTATTTTAGAAATGATAGAAATACAGACAATTTAATATCGCAATACTCTCGTGGCCTGTTTGCTTGTTTTGAACTGCAACAACTTCCCACTGGAAAAAGATGCTACTGCTGAACATTAGTTTGAGTGGCTTCAGAAAGTAAATCTGATTTATCCACAAACAGGTACAACATAGACGAGGGCATTGTAAGAATTTGTAGTA